TTAGACAATCATGGTACCTAATTATAATACCAAATGTAATCAGTTGCAAAGAAATATTGTTGAATTGATACGGTCTGTGGTATGAGAGCCAGGGTTATGGCATTTACACCCAAAAGGCAGTACTATCGAAGAGATACTTTGGGTTCTGTGGGGGATTTCAATTGTACAGTTCCAAACATAGGAACAAGATGTGACGCCCTTGATATTGCTATACTATTGCTACAAGTGGCGCAAAACCATTCTCATCCACTAGAACAGGAATAAAATGTATCTGTTTGTCCTAGAAAGAATGTCCTTATTGAAACGGAGAAACGATTACGTAACTGAGAATTTGTGTCAACGAGATTGTGATTCTTCCATGAGTGCATTAATTTCTTCCGGCAGAAATAACTCGATAATACAGCGACGTTTCATTTCAAGCATCCTTCACAACGGAAACAGAACCATGAAATATCATTCACATCAATTTTATATCACAAAGCTATGCATGCTAACTAATAGGTTCAGTGACTCAGCAGGTCACAAAGTTCATAAACCTCACGACAAATATGAAAATCTTAACCCCAAACTATAACCCTTTCAAAAAATCTCCAAGCTTAATATTTATAGAACAGCCAAATCACCCAAAATATGCCATCAGTGAGATAACAACCTATCTTTAATTTTACTCATTGGAAATCCCCAGGGGATAATTCATAGAACTCCGAGTCTCTTTGCCGTCACATCTGTCAAATCTGGGATATTTTACTGTGTCGTTTGCGACGGAAAAAATGCCAAATTGCATGTTTAGCACCGGTGAATAACCACTTGTTTTATATGATAACAGACTTGAGACAATTCGTACATGTTTGGATCAATAGTAGGTCGGGATTGGCATCTAAACACAGCCGTATGTGAATCAATCTTGAATCAGCTGTCAAGTTATCGGCCAAATTCAGTCCAAGCTGCGGGGAAATATTCATTTATACGCAGTTATCGGCCTTTGTGAATATTTAATGGAGGAACGAATGTGGACCCGTGGGAGTATTTGACTGAGCACCTGTCTACCTAAACCAGTACTCAGTTATCTCCCCTTGGAATATAGTCCCGTGGGAGAAATATTATCACACTGGCATGCGACTGTCTCTGGGACTACCGTTTTTATTTGTATTCAGATTGACGGTGTTTAACCCTTTAGGGGGAGCTTACATTAATGTTTGCAGTTTAAATGATACAATCTTTAAATTCTGACGACTTCACCTTTTTGAAACCGAGGACTGTCCCTCGACCTGGTCAACTGGCATGTTCTAATTTTTTCTGTTCAACGTAGGACAGAAAATACTACTTTAATTAAGTCTGCCTGTGTTAGAACGTATACGAGGGCTTCAAGCAATGCCGATTTCGCTCTCGCGAAACTTTACGTCTTCTGGTATTTTCTATCGATTCAGGTTAAATATTAAAAAAATACATAAAAGGTCAATGCCAGAGAATAACCAGTCTCAATTATCTGCCGAAGAGAATAAGTGGTCACAGTCTCAATTGATCTAAAGACATCACGTGTGAGAAAATAGTGAACAGGTCCTTCTCCATCATGGTCTTCCTAACAATTTGTATAAAGTTGTTCGTTGCCTAACTGATGATCCCTGGCTCACGATGGACATCAAATCGTGTGACATGTAAAAATCCCATGAACAGGGATATTCTCCATCATCTTCAATGCGGACAATTTGCATAAAGTTTACAATTCGTTGCAGACATCCTAACGCCGCATGGAAATAATCTCTGGCTCACGATGGTTCTCAAAGCGTCACATCCTTACAAATCTAATGCGAACATGTTTACAATCCTATTGCGGATATACTTACAAACTCAATGCGGACATTCGTATGATCTCAATGCGAACATCCTTACAATCTCAATGCAGACATCCTTACGATCTCAATGCGAACATCCTTACAATCTCAATGCAGACATCCTTACGATCTCAAAGCGAACATCCTTACAAACTCAATGCGAACATCCTTACGATCTCAATGCGAACATCCTTACAATCTCAATGCGGACACCCTTACGATCTCAATGCGAACATCCTTACAATCTCAATGCGAACATCCTTACGATCTCAATGCGAACATCCTTACAATCTCAATGCAGACATCCTTACGATCTCAATGCAGACATCCTTACAATCTCAATGCGAACATCCTTACAATCTCAATGCGAACATCCTTACAATCTCAATGCATACATCCTTACGATCTCAGTGCGAACATCCTTACAATGTCAATGCGGATGTCGACATCCTTACAATGTCAATGCGAACATCCTTACAATCTCAGTGCGGACTTTCTTACGATCTCACAATCTCGATGCGGACAGTCTTATGATCTCAATGCGGACATCAGACATCCTTACAATCCCACTGCTGGCACCCTTACAATCTCAATGCGAACATCCTTACAATCTCAATGCGAACATCCTTACAATCTCAATGCGGACATTCTTACGATCTCAATGCGAACATTCTCACAATCTCAATGCGGACATTCTTACGATCTCAATGCGAACATTCTCACAATCTCAATGCGGACATCCTTACGATCTCAATGCGAACATCCTTACAATCTCAATGCGGACATTCTTACGATCTCAATGCGGACATTCTCACGATCTCAATGCGGACATCCTTACGATGCGGAACATCCTTATTCAATTACGACATCTCATCTCACTATGCGGACATCTTACGATCTCAATGCGGACATCAGACATCCTTACAATCCCCTTGCTGACACCCTTACAATCTCATTGCGAACATCCATTGCTGACATCTCCACAATGTCAATCTGGTCATATTCACGATCCTAAAGTGATATACCTACAATCAACATGTAACTAAAGTCACATTAACACCATTACTCGACCTGCTACCACGGTTGTATATTCCCACAGAAGGTACAGGGAGATACAATAATCCAGCCTCTGATCAAGAAATACAACAGTCCAAGTGAAGACACACGTTCACCGCCTTGGCGTTTGTTGAAACCTTCAGCTATTGATTCCAGTCGTAAGTCAGTGAAGTGAGGGTAACTACGGTATTTTATTGAGTAGATGCTGGTCACAGATTGTAGTGGCTTGATGGATCCATCAGGAGCCTAGCAGGGTCATAAAAGCATCTCTCCGTTTGATCTGCATTCGGGCGGTGCACTCCCTAATAGTGAAGCCCAATTGGTAAATGTTAAGAATGGGAACCTGCTAAAATTTACAAGACATCAAACGACCAAACTCGTGTACATGTTCCTAACCATTATTTGCGGTAATTGAACTCTGTTTATGAGAGCTCTCTGTAAATTGGTGAAGTAGAAAAGCAGAAACGTTGTCAATGCGTAGCTGTTCATAAACAACACATATTACGTAAGGAACTAATGTAAATTCCGGAATGGTCTGATACGCCATGTCATTACGGAGTGGTCTGTGGTCCTTGTTGACACAAAAATACCAATATCCCCTTGTGTTGTTCAAAAGTAAGTGTCGAGGACAATTTTCGTGATTAATTTAATGCGGACTTCGCCATTCTGGAATCTCTTGATGTTTCTGTGTTGGTTGTGATGGTAATTCTCTGGGTGACCTTGACTTAACCACGCGATTCAGGTACGTTGGTTGTGTAGGTGACGATCTTGGTTTGAACCCGCTTTGAATTAACTTTAAGTTGGTTTGTTTTTTAACGCTGCACTCAGCAATATTCCAGCTATATGGAGGCGGTCTGCAAATAATCGAGTCAGGACCAGACAATCCAGTGATCCAGGGATTGATCTACACAAATGGGTTACGATGACATGTATCAATCAAGTCAGCGAGCCTGACCACCTGATCCCGTTAGTCGCCTCTTACGACAATCATGGGTTGCTGAAGACCAATTCTAACCCGGATCTTCACTAACTAACTAACTTTCAATCAATCAATCTTTTATTCGGTAGAAAGGCCTTCGGCCCACGTACAATGTTAACATATGGAATACATTTATGAGTTGCTGTCAAACAAATGAATTGCGCAAAATTAAGGCCTCTTTAACATAATTTGAGATGGACAGTAAATGAGTAGGATTATCATTTTGAAGATCATAGATCATGACATCTTCATTGATGTACATAGGTATGTTTTCAAAGTATTTAACACGTAATTCGTTATATGCTGGACATTTATAAAGAAAATGAAATTCATCCTCTACATAATTTAATTTACATACCCTACAATAGCGATATTGACGTGGAATTCCATCTCGTCTACCCATATTTTTATTATACACTAACTTTAAATACTATGAAGGCCGCGGGTTATTTTAAAGGATAAACCAAAGTGGTCCAGATTGTTGCTGGTAGACCACGGATCTACTCGGTCGAGTCTGTGATTCGAACCCAGGATCAGTGGATCCTGACCTAAAAAAGGGACTCAATACCTCTCGTGGGGATTCCAGAACAGAATAATGTTTGGTCCCCAGGACCAAGGCGACCAACTGGATTGGGTGGTCAGACTCAGTGTTTTGTACGTCGACCGATGTTCATAATATCAATCACTGGATTTCATGACCGCCATTCATTCAACATACACGGAACCACCTGGTCAAAATCCATCAATCTGGATTAACAAGGTTGTAGTATAAAGTTTAACGGAAGTAAGCCCCGGAGAGCTGCTGGGAAATAATATGACACTGAAACAGTTGCCTTTGTCAAATATCACAAGTCTTCAACATGCGGTTCCAACACACAGTTCTGGGTCCTGGGCCCTTATTCTCGAATCGTTCGTAGCCCTAAGAACTTTCATCGTAGCTAATGTGTTAAGAATGGGCTTCAGAAGTTCGTAGGACTACGAACGTTTCGAGAATAGCTAGCCAGATCCACAAAACGTTGGTAGCTCTACGTCGTAAACCATAGCGTTACGACAGTTCGTAACGTTACGAACGCTTCGTGGATCAGGACCTTGTTTCAGTTTGTAGTGACGCTAAACACGAAAGTTTTACTTACTTTCATATATATTATCATCTGAGCAAAGGTCCCGTAAGCCTTGTTCCGCCCCCTTCAAGTTCTGCTTGGTCTGGTCAATCAGCTTGTGTTTGTCTGCAGGACACCTGCTCTTCAGGCCGTCCAGGCAATGCATAGCTTGCACGAAGGAGCTGAAACAGGCAATGACGTACACTGAACAACACGACATACACTTAGTGAAAACACAGATTTATTTAAGGGCACTTTTCTTAGTCACATGTTTGTAGAGAGTGAATGAGTGATTATGGTTTTACGCAGCTGTTACCAATATTCCAGCAATATCACAGACGGGGACACCAGAAATGGGCTTCACACATTATACCTATGTGGAAAATCGAACCCAGGGCCTAGATTTTCGAAGCTCTCTTAGCGCTAAGATAGTCGTAAGTGTTATACCTTAACATTAACTTACGACTATCTTAGCGCTAAGAGAGCTTCGAAAATCTAGGCCCAGGTCTTCGGCGTGACGAGCGAACGCTCTAACCACTAGTCTACCCTAAGGCCCCCTTATGTTTGTAACACAAGGACACATCCTTTCACAAGGAAATCGATTTCTCGGGCAGAAATTCGTAAAGAAAGGATAGCCCTTCGAATTGAAACGGATTTTTGAAAAACACTGAAGTGCATACCTTCAAATCGAAATTGTTTTCTAAAACATAAAGCACTTCATATCATGGAGACAGACTGATAGATCATAAGTAGCATGTTGTGTCAATCTGTACGTGTACCTAAATGTAGACATATATTTCACTCACATAGGTATGTTGCGTCATGTCGTACATAAATGTGGACAGAAATTTCATTCACAAATCTATCGTGACACGCCCTGAACACAGAAAACAGAAAACATATCCTTCAAACATTATGTGCCATTATCGAGAACTCTGTATGCAATGTCAAAACGCCGTCGGACTCTTTATTGTAAAAATAAATATTCTCTTAGGCAAATGTTTTCACTGTGAAAATCATTATCATAACGATAATATCGTCCGTAACATAAACTCCACGATAACGATATCATCGAATAAAATTCGTTACCACAGCATGATATCCAAACTATACGTCCTTGTCAGCGAACCCTTTGCCGCTTGAACTGTTAAACTTAAGTGCAGAAGTGCCCCATGAACCAACTGAAGATTAGTGCATTATCACAATTTAGTTTTCACCCAAAGAAAAGATTGGTTTTTACACCAAACTCCCACAGCACGCGGCGCTTGGCTGAAGAGTGTCGGTGTGGTGCAACGTTCAGTGTATCCGTTAGGGGTCGGATGATTGAAACGGTGTCAAACATTTACTGACTTTTAAATCGATTTGGAGATTACATCGTCATAAAGCGAGTATGGAGGGAGTTCGGGGGACAATGAAGGAGAATGGTGGATTAATTATGACGTTTATGTAGTCATAAACTAAGGACAGAATCACGATTGCATCATTTAGGCTGTGTGGGGATGTGAAGGATTCGGAAACGGACGATGTTCTTGTGTCTAGACACGGTTATTTCACAAGGAAACACTGTCGGTTCTGTCAGTGACTAAGCCACAGTGGGTGTTCAGTAAAAGAGCGAGTGAGCGAGTACTATGTTTTTACACCGTTTTTAGCATTATTCAAGCAATAGTGAGTGAGTGAGTGAGTATGGTTTTACGCCGCTTTAAAATAATATTCCAGCAATATCACGGCGATGGACACCAGAAATGGCTTCACACATTGTACACATGTCGGGAATCGAACCCTGGTCTTCAGCGTGACGTGCGGCCGCTTTGACCACTAGGCTACCCCCACCGCCCCTTTTCCGCCAGCCTTTACTGATTTTCCAACATAAGTTCGCGGGACATTAGAAATAACTTCACACATTGTACCAAATTCTGGAAAATTGAATCCAGGAGCACAACAGAATATCCTACCCCTCGGCTCTGATATCAGTCAGTTTCCAAAGTAGTGGAAACCCGACCGTTGGTGATGAGGTTGGTTGGTTGGTTGGTTGGTTGTTGTTTAACGCCTCACTCAGCAATATTCCAGCTATGTGGCCGCGGTCTGTAAATAATCGAATCTGGACCAAACAATCCAGTGATTAACACCATGAGCATCGATCTACGCAACTGGGATACGATGACATGTGTCAACCAAGTCAGCGAACCTGACCACCCGATCCTGTTAGTCGCCTCTTACGTTGGTGCGGAGGTACGTATATGCTAACTAAAGTCTTTAACAAATTGATAACAGAATGGGGAGGGTTATCCATACGATACATCAATCTGATAAAATTCGGTATCAAGATACGATAACTATGCAAATGAATGTACCTATGCAAATAGTGCCAAGCAGAGAGGAAACACTCATTGGCGCAGTGTTTCTGTAGACAAACATGGATGCGAGTCATTTGGCACCAAATGATAAATTGGGCATATCACTCAGGTTTGTATTAATGCCATTTCTAAAGCTTCTATATTGGGTAAAATAGCGTCTGAAACATCAATTATTGTATGAATGGGAATTCCATTACGTGAAGTAAAGATTGATATCCTCGCGTGGTTCAGTCTCGTAGGAACATAATACCTATATCATCCTCGCTAAAGGCAACGATAATGCAATTTTGTATCCCTTATGCCATTTACCATACGGAGACCCATTCATTTCATGGTGTCTATCTCTGTGACAATGTACACAATCATTTCATGGTGTCTATCTCTGTGACAATGTACACAATCAGTTCATGGTGTCTATCTCTGTGACAATGTACACAATCAGTTCATGGTGTCTATCTCTGTGACAATGTACACAATCAGTTCATGGTGTCTATCTCTGTGACAATGTACACAATCTATCTCTGTGACAATTCAGTTCATGGTGTCTATCTCTGTGACAATGTACACAATCAGTTCATGGTGTCTATCTCTGTGACAATGTACACAATCAGTTCATGGTGTCTATCTCTGTGACAATGTACACAATCAGTTCATGGTGTCTATCTCTGTGACAATGTACACAATCAGTTCATGATGTCTATCTCTGTGACAATGTACACAATCAGTTTCATGGTGTCTATCTCTGTGACAATGTACACAATCAGTTCATGATGTCTATCTCTGTGACAATGTACCCAATCAGTTCATGGTGTCTATCTCTGTGACAATGTACACAATCAGTTCATGGACAATGTGTCTATCTCTGTGACAATGTACACAATCAGTTCATGGTGTCTATCTCTGTGACAATGTACACAATCAGTTCATGGTGTCTATCTCTGTGACAATGTACACAATCAATTCATGGTGTCTATCTCTGTGACAATGTACACAATCAGTTCATGGTGTCTATCTCTTCATGTGTGACAATGTACACAATCAGTTCATGGTGTCTATCTCTGTGACATTGTACACAATCAGTTCATGGTGTCTATCTCTGTGACAATGTACACAATCAGTTCATGGTGTCTATCTCTGTGACAATGTACACAATCACGTCATGGTGTCTATCTCTGTGACAATGTACACAATCATTTCATGGTGTCTATCTCTGTGACAATGTACACAATGATTGATCCCTATTTGACAATTCATTGAACTTCGTTTACAACGAACACGCTTATAGCGAACTGATTTTAGTCTCGAACTACGAACATATCGAACTACGGTTATAACAAAATAGATTTCGTTATAACCGTTGTTTACTGTTTTCATGTATATATTACTAACACACACTGTTGCAAAGAAATAATTCATAAACGTTCCGCCATGTATTTGCAACCAAATAATTTGCAACCGGTAAGAACTGTCTTGGATGAAGATCGGATGGCACAATGCGTTACATGGATGATAGGGCCTGTGTCACCTCCGACGTGTTTCGATACTCATTAATTTACGAAAGGTTTGTTTGATCCGGACTCGATTATTTCAAAGGCATAGCTTTCGTAATGTTGTTTTTCGCTCACTAACATAACAGAGTGATAAGCATCTACGACCTGCATCTCATTCTCTCTCATATGACAAAAAAATATAATATTTTGTTAAAGCGACAAAATACTCATTTAACACATCCGAATTAATTCGATAAGACCACGCACGGTTGTTGCTGACAGATCATGAGATGCAATTATTCCGCTCATGAGAATGCAGCAAGTTGCACACCTTCCATATCAGCCAAGCCAGAACACACTTCACACCATCGGGCAGAACGCTGGAGCCTTCAAAGAGCAGGTCTTCACTTCGTTTAGACAATACCCTGCACATGATTTGAGTCAGACTGCTTGGGCAACAAGTCAGCGGCGCAACGATACTCATAAAATAATTAGTCATGCGAATTGTGGCGATGGTATGCTGGAGGACCGCTAAAAGACGAGTTACCCAGTACGCCAGCCGGTGTCCTGGAATTCTCGGGTGCCATCTTGTCTGTGCACAAGAGCCAGCCACTTGATGAACTGACGCAAGCACTAGTAGGCTTGTAATATTGGGCAATGAGTATATGAATTAAATGTTGGATGTGGAATTATATTGTTAGATAGCCTCATCGTTCGGTCATTTTTATGTCAATCGTTGCAGTCGAGTGCTGATTGGTTTTATGAGGCAAATGCGCTCAGCGTGTTGCTCAATATTGTTGAGAAGCTCTCTACAAACATGGCTGTTTCCGTTTTGCTTTTTTGCTGAGATCAAAAACATGTAAAATAAGATTCCTGTAATCTAAAGTAATGTTTAGAATCTGAACTTCAAAGTGATGACTTTTGGGTTTGATATTGATATTTCAAATCTGCCAAAGATTAATATGTTTTGCTGTTTTTAAAACCCTGATATTTGTAGGAGTAATACGTAACATTTTGACTAGGCGCAGTTAAACCTTCCGGACGGCGAAAAATAGAAGTGTTTTCTTGAGTGGGTGAAAGAAGCTTACAGCGTTAGTTGGCTTAGTATATCAGCAATATCTGGGTCAAACCGGTGATTGAGAGAATGAGCAAACATTGACGGCTTCGTGTTACGATGAACCGCATCACCACATCACAGAGCCTGACCACTGGTTGTTTGTTGTTTAACGCCGCACTCAGCAATATTCCAGCTATATGGCGGCGGTCTGTAAATAACCGAGTCTGGACCAGACAATCCAGTGATCAACATCATAAGCATTAATCTACGCAATTGGGATA